CTAGTTTGGAAGGCACTCAAAATACATAGCGGTCGCAACAATGGACTTGAGCACACCAATGATCATGAAGATGGCGCAGGGCCAGGCAACCTTTGTTTCTGTTGTACATGGAGTCGTCGTGAGTTGTAGCTGACTCAATGGTAGCTAACAAGAATAACAGTGTAATACTTGTTAAAACTGTATGTATCATCTGTGACAACAAGATTTCTCACAAGCATCACAGAAAAGTTTCCTCCACCTTAGAAGGTTCTGTTTGATCAATTCACTCAGTCAAAAATATGAGTCAGGAACAATCCCAAGCCCAGTACATGGCCCTGGAGTATCCCGATTCCCAGCAGTCCTTTGCAGTTTCATCCCAAATCCAGTCAGGCTGAAGTCTCTCAGACCCAGGAGATGAGGCACTTTCATTCCACAGCCTGTGAATGCAGCGGAACCCTGCAAGCCCCCGTGTCCTCCGGTGAGAACAGCACATCCTTGGTGCAGTGGGAATGGGTGTGGGGCTGCAGGCCAGTCCTTTGAATGTTGGCGATGCAGATGAAGCCAAAACTCAGGACACATGGCACATAGCATTCCACGTCAGTGGCATCTTTCACATGTCAGGTGGAGGGGATGCTTAGTAAACAGCTGCGAGTAATGGTGATATGAAAATGGGGATGCGAGGATGGTGGTAACATTGTCTCTCTTATTCCCTGGGTTACAACTTGGAGCGGAATGCTCCAGAGAGTGTTTCCATGTTTTAGCCACATGAATATTTGACACTGTCAGGAAAGGGAATGAGTTATACTGGAAAAATCATTGAGGCCCAGGAGAAAAGAATGGTATAAACAATAGGGGCTGTGTTCACTTATTCCAAGCACCTGAAGACAGTTGGAATTCACACTTGACCAATGTTTAGTGAGTGCCCACTAGGTGCCAGGCGTGTGCTCAGCTCCATGTGTGCTGCACCGCTTAGTCTTCACAGCCTGGGAGGCGAAGAGCATTCCTGTTGTCTCCTGGGTTTGGGAACTGAGGGGCAGGGAGCTGAGTGTCTTGTGGCTGTGCTCAGAACCCCCTGCCCCAGCCTCCTCACCACATGCCTCACGGTCTAGCAGTTCCAGATCCCTGAGAGCCCTCGATACACCAGGCTGACCCCGACTTCCATGCCTCGGCCTAAGCCGCACCCTCCTTCCTTCATCCACTGGACAAATTGTCCATCCTTCCAAGCCCAGCTCAGACTAGAGAGTCTAGGTCCAGTCAGGAGATAGAAACCAGGGAATGTTCAATAGAAAGGATCGTTAACTATGATGAAAGAGTAACTGTAAGAAGAAAACTCTGTGCTACTCTAAGGCTCAGGGAACACACCCAAGAAAGAGGAAACATTGGAGGGTGTGGTCCAGCCCACAGTAGCAGAGATGCTCTCGAGTTTGGCCAGCCTGGAGCAGGTCTAGAGTTGCTGGGAAAGCAATAGGCCACCATCCAGAGAGCTACTGGTGGCAAGGATGGTCGTGGGAAACAGGGTGCTGGTGGGGGCCTGGGACCTCAGCACACAAGTTGCACAGGAGCTCTGGTTCTGTTGTAGAGAGGGCTACAGAAGGATTATCTCCAGGCCCAGACTGCAGGGTCACAGAGGGACCATCTCCGGGGCAGACCACTGGCCATTCTCACACACCCCAATGACCGGGCCTCTCCAGTGCCCTCCACAGAGAAAGTTCCACACTGTGCCCATGCCCAGGAGCACTGCTCACAGGAGTCTGTCCATGATCGCAGGAAGGGTACTGAAGGCTGAGTCTGGGGCTGAGGTAACACTCAGAGACCCGCTCCATGTGCAGCCGTCTCTGTGCCCACCGCCCGCCCCCTCCACCCAGAGGCTCTCACACCAGCCATAGCCCAGCCTACAGCATGGACATGATAGCCTCCCTGCTGGGGCATTCAGCCTTCTCCTTTTAGATTACTGGGCCTGGCTCACAGTAAGCTCTCAAGCCTGGAATTTGTGCCTGGAATGATGCCGTGATGGCCGGGTTCACAGCTCCTCAGTGAGAGCAAGAGGAAGCAGCCCTGGGAATAAGCAGGTTTCCATGTTCCTGGCCTCCTTGTCTTGTTCTTCAAAAGATCCCATGTCTGGGAACTTTAGGGGTCAAACAGTCTGAGTCTTTGCTGGAATGTGTTGGGCTCTCAGTTGCCAGCACAGGGCTGATGCCTAACCCTTTTATCTTTAAACCCAGCACGTAAGCAGGAGTAAGTACCTTCGCTGGACTGACACACCGAGGCACAGAGCAGCGCGTCCTTGGATTGTCTCTCCTTTTTCATCTCACAGATGATGGGTAATTTGGATAGAGACATCACTTTATTTTCCATTTTCAAGTTCACATTGGGTTAGAGCTAATCTCTTTCATTACAAGGGCAAGGCTCATATATCCTGGAGGCTGAATCAGAAGACTGTCCAGGGCCTCTCCGCACACGTTCAGTCAGTTTTTCCTTCTGCCTTTTAACTGGAGCTGTCAGTCTACCGTCCAGCGCCGTCTGCCCGGTGCTTCAGAGGGCCGCTGCTACGGCACCACCTGCTTTCATGCCCCTGACAGGGGCTGCCTTCAGGGTCCTCACCCAGAGTGGTCTGCGTGGGCCAGGCTCTGTGCCCGCCACTGGGTGCTATCCCAGAAGGGGAAGACGTCTGCCTTCAAATGCCTTCCTCGGGGGTTCCTCAGCCTGAGCAGGGCAGAGCCTCGCAGCCCATGAGAACCATGCTTTCTTGCTTGACTTCCAGGACCCTCCACTGCCTGGCTCCGTGCCGCCTCCAGCCTTGCCTCGGGCCCACAGGATGGGCTTCCTCTGCCCATCCCCACATGTGCCAGCTTCCTGTCCAGAGAAGGCTGTCACACAGGTTGGGGTTGACACTACACTTATGTGGTACTGTTATATTTAATACTTAGTAATATTTTCTTGTGCATGCTGTATTTTTCCAAGTACATCGTATGCTTGGAAGCAGGGACTGCGTCCTAAACTTGTTTGGCTCCTCAGCAGAGGCGCATGATAGATGCTATTACGCGGCTAGTGGGAGAAGCTGGGGGCAGGGCTTGGAAGAACAACTTGCAACAGGAAGGCAGCCACGTTAGATGATCAGCCCTCATGGCGTGATCAGAAACCATGGCAGAGGAGACACACAAGCTGCTTCCAAGACACGCGAGCGCCAGTCTTTAGGTCTGCACCTCAGATCAGAAGGTTTTGTGGGGAGTTACAGATTCCTACAAAGACTCTGAGTTGATTCCAGCCTCTTCCCTGACCCAGCACTCCTTGGCGAACACCTCTCTTCATACTGCTACACGCTGCCGTGACTGAGGACTTGTGTCCTGTGAAGTCAGTGCCTGTGGAGTGACAACTGGCAGGGACTCTAGCATCTCATCCCAGCAGCGCCAGGTGACCCTGGGTCGGCTGAGCCTATGTCCAGTTTTGCACATGGCAGGGGTCTGAACCCCCATGTAGTTGTTGGCAGCTCACTGCCCACATCTCTGGCAGCCTGGCTCTCTCCTAGCAGTGAGCAGATTGTCACTGTCATAGCCAAGGTCGGGGGACATCAGCCCTGCCACTCCAGCCCAGCTCCCAGGTTCCCTTGGGACACTCAAGGCAGCGTGGCAGCTGCTCCCACAGTGGCCGTCTCAGAGCTGCCCTCCACCTGTGAGGCCAGGCAGGGGCCTCAGGTACGGCCCGCAGGGTGAAGCCATAGCCAGGTGCCCGTGGCCAGTGAGGGGCAGGGCTGAGGGCACTCGGCTCACCCACCTCCCTGTGCTGACCCAAAAGTTACCCAAGGACAGCACTGGGCTCCCTGTGACACCACCCCAAGTCTCTCCTTCCTGGATTGTACCCTAACCCCCTTCCTGGAAAATAGCTTTTAAGGGAAACCAGAAGCAAACTGGCCTAATAGTTTTTACTTCTGTTTGCTTTAGATGAAGCTAAAATTAAAATACATACATACATAACCACACAGGGGGTTTGCACAGATGGAACGCCCCGCCAGGCAGTGTCACTGTGGGTTAGCGGAGGGCCTCCCACCCGCAGCCCCGGGCCCAGAGCAGTGGGTCAGACGAGCGAGCGAGCGAGCGAGCGGACGTGCACGTTTGCTCCCTGGAGCAGAACAGCGCGGCGGGACTGCACTTGTCAGCCGGACCGGCAGACGGGTGAGGCAGGGGAGCCGCTGTGACGTCCCTCCGAGCTGCCCTCCTGCAGGCCCTGGGCAGTGACTCCCCTGCTGCAGCTCCTCCAGTGCCAGCGGCTTCCATATCATCTCTGTGTTCACGCTTCAGCCTGTGTTAGTCCAGTTTTCACAATTCTTGTGTATTTATTTCGTCAAGATTCTAGGGCCTCAGTCTCCACTGGTGGTTCTTTTGAAAGAAATGCGTGTATAGAGACCAAGAATGAGTGGGTCTCTGTCTGTCTGTCTGCTGTGGGCCTCATGTCTTTGCACGTGGCCTTGCAGGAGTGACAGGTGTCATATCCGCATGTTAGGTCCCCTGACATCCTGGGAGGAAGCCAGTGGGGACAGCACCTCCAGAGCCACCAGGGCCCAGGGGCCATTCCCCATAGAGGAGGACCAGAGGCCCTGAAGTTCACAAAAGGTCCTGGGCCCAGCCCCTCCCCCTTCTGGAAACCCTTCTCCAGGAGATGTCATCCTAGTTTCCAGAACTTTCTGTCCTCCTTCTGATTTTCCAGCCTCTGTATCCTGCTCTGGTCAGGTACTTGCTGCCTGTTTTAAGGAGTCATTCCTACACTGTGCTTAGGTTCTTCGTGCTGACGCAGCATCCCTGACCTTCCTCTGGGGTACACGTGACTTGCAGACATTTTTCTGGGGCATTGTCCATCACATTAATCCCGCTCCCATAGAGACCAGCTGGATTTACTTGGGCCTGCACTTGTGTCTGGGATATCACCCTTCGTGCCCTGGGACCTCGGTCTCCCAGCCAGCCTGGCGGCCTGCAGACTTCCTAGTGTGTTCTTGAGACCCCTGTGTGAGCTCTTGTGCTTCCCTGCAGGGCCTGATGCACTCCAGCGGCCCCGTAGGTCGGCACCGGCAACTGGTCCTGGTCCTGGAGGGGGAGCTCTACCTCATACCCTTCGCCCTCCTGAAGGGAAGCTCCTCCAACGAGTACCTGTATGAGCGCTTCGCCCTCATCGCCGTGCCTTCCATCCGCTCCCTCAGCCCACAGGCCAAGGTAACACCCACACAGGTGTGGGGGCTTCTTCGCGGGGTCCTGAGGCACGGCACACTCAGCCAGATGGGGCTGTGCTACTCAAGGGTAGGATGTGAGCTCTTCATAAATGTCTTATAGTTTGCAGCTGGGTAGGGTGACTTCAGAGTGGAGGCAGGGGGATGGCCCTCATGACCCGTGGCAGCCATGATTTCTGTTATTTCTCCCCGTGAAGTTTCTTGGCTGTGACATCAGGGTGGTGAGCTGCTCTGATGCACTCAGTCAGGTGTCAGGCTGGGAGAGTATCTCTGGGGGCCGGCTGCAGAGCACTATTTGGTGATGTTCCTCACTACCTTCTGTGAGGCACTTGGGGACCACAGATGCCATGTTCACCATCATCCCTCAGGCTGACCCCATCTGGGCCATGTGTGCTACATAGCTGAGGGGCCACAGGCGGGGGACAGCAAACAGGTAAGACTAGTGCCCAGTCAGAAAGTCTCAAAAGGCCAGTGAAAGAACTGAAAGCAAATGAGGTGGCTTTGAGAAGACAGGCAGGGACTCAGGTCTCACTCAGCATGAAAACTCAGTGTGGAAAGGTCTGTGTAACTCAAGACAGCAACAGTGCACCATCCATAGAGTTGCGACTTCACCCCACAACCACCTGCGGCCCTGACCACCTATGGAGAGACTTTTGAGCCAAACCTGACTCCTCTTTCCCTACCCCAAACTCTCTCAGAGACCCCGAGGCCCTAGTTCTTCCTGACCCCTCATGGCCCCCAAACAAGGCTCCCCACCACCTAGCACTCCACTTGCAGCATTGCCACTTGCCTCGGCTGCAGAACTATCTTTACACGAAGACCTGGGTTTTTCTGTCTTCAGGCTGCTGCCCGTGTTCTCAGAGTCCCTCCACCCCAATGGGCCCCCTCACAGCCTGTAGAAAGGGTTCGGCTGGGTTGGGACCTGCGGCACCTTGCCCTGTGCATGGGTGGCCTCCTGCCTTGACCTCTTTCTTGGTCTACACTGGTCATTGGTCTGGTTCGAATGGAGTTGGTTTCTGCCTCTCAGATTTTTGGGCATCTTAGTTGTGACTGTTTTTGTGACTGAATCACTGTTCTCATGAGACAGAGTCAGTTCAAAGTGAAAGAAATTCTTTCCTCCAAGATTCTCATGTTTCCGTGGCTGACTCTGTGACTCCCAGGCGCAAAGTGAGCTGGCCGCACCCTCTGCACAGCAGCCTCTCACCGCGCCATCAGCAGGGACACTCCGGGTATCAGATATTGCCAGTGGTAAGAAAGCTTTTATTTTGATGACAACAATAAACCGTTTCCACCGTACCCAGGGAGTTGGAGGAGCCTGTCTCCTGGCAGGCGCGTGGCAAGTCTCTTACCCAGCGTTTAAGGCACCACCACACAGAGGCGCCAAAAGTTACCTCAAAATAATTCGATACTTGATGTTTCCCCAAAAGCATCAAAAGCCATCATGGGGAAAAATCAGAACTTTGCTGGACGTCTTTAGGCTGACTTTGTATTCCAGTGGTGTTTTTATTTGGAAGTACAGAAAGTGTAAGGGTACTATGATCTTTTAGGGTATAGAGCTTCTAAAGGATGTAATTTGGCCCTGGGCTCACCGAGATTGCCTTGCTTTTTCCACAATTTAAACAAAGCCATCCCTCAAAGCCCCTGACTCACCAGAAGCAGATTTTTCCCTTTTCAGGGGTGGGCTGTCCCAGGCACCACAGCTTCTTGCTCCTCCGCACGCTGTCACATTGCGCCTCCTTTCCCCACTGTCCCCAAATGCTTGACAAACGGGACGTATCCTCCTACCATCCGATCCTGATTCTTTTCAAGAGCTTGTCACAGCAGATTGAGTCTCAGTAAATCATACACCTGGGTTACGAATGAGGTTATTGGGAGACCAGGGAAAGCCAGAGAGCTGGCCGCCCCATGCTCCCGAGAAGCACTGCAGCGGAGGTGGGGCGTCCTGTCTGACAGTCTGTGCTTGTGTCTCCCCCTGACCTCAGCCTCATCTAAGGAAGAGCCCACCCGTGTATTCCAGCTCCACGTCCATGGCAGCCGTCATCGGCAACCCCAAGCTCCCAGCGGCAGTGATGGACAGGTGGCTGTGGGGGCCCATGCCGTCGGCCGAGGAGGAAGCCTACATGGTGTCAGAGCTGCTGGGCTGCCAGCCCCTGGTGGGCAGTGTGGCCACCAAGGAGAGGGTCATGAGCGCCCTGACACAGGCTGAGTGTGTCCACTTTGCCACCCACATCTCCTGGAAGCTGTCAGCCTTGGTCCTCACGCCCAATGTGGACGGCAACCCTGCCAGCAGCAAGAGCTCCTTCGGCCACCCCTACACGATCCCTGAGTCCCTGCGGGTGCAGGATGATGCCAGTGACGTGGAGAGCATCTCAGACTGCCCGCCCCTCCAGGAGCTGCTGCTCACAGCCGCGGACATCCTGGACCTGCGGCTGCCCGTGAAGCTGGTGGTCCTTGGCTCCTCTCAGGAGTCTAACAGCAAAGTCACGGCTGACGGGGTCATTGCACTGACGCGGGCCTTCTTAGCTGCTGGCGCACAGTGTGTCCTCGTGTCTCTGTGGCCTGTGCCAGTGGCTGCTTCCAAGATGTTCATCCACGCCTTCTACTCGTCCTTGCTGAATGGCCTAAAGGCCAGCGCCGCCCTGGGGGAGGCCATGAAGGTGGTGCAGAGCAGCAAGCCCTTCGCACACCCCTCCAACTGGGCAGGTAGGAGGGCGGTTGCCAGCAGGCACCTGTCTGTGGGCTCAGGGCTCAGTCCTCACTGCCCTCAGACTTCGCTCTGCAGGCAGGGGTTGGGGAGGCAGGGCCAGGGGCACCAGGAAAAGGAGGCCATGGGCCGCTTCAGGGAGAGAGCCTTGTTTGCTAAGACTCTCAGCTCCACCAAATCAGTTTTTAATACTAGGGTTTTAAGATAGTCTTTTTCCCCAGGGAGCATCAAAGTGTGAATGTAAATCTCATCCTTCCATTAGTGTGGACTGGATGGATCTGTTTTATGGCACCCTCACTTACGGTCCCAACTCTAGAAAAGAGCGATGGGGTAGAAGACCCTAGATTTGGTAACCGGAAGTCTTGGGCTGATCTAGCTCCCTGTCCTGGCTGTGTGGCCTGGGACAAGTGCCTTACCTACTCTGAAGCTCAGTGGCCTCAGTGATAACAAGAGGGTGATGGTGGGTGCTGCTACTTGTCCTGTTCACACTTGAGAGGATCTGTAAGGAGTAGATTGAAGGTCTTATGAAGCATGAGTCCTGTACCTTCTGGAAAACCAACAGTACGTGGTCTTAGTGGGCCTGCTTCAGAGGCAGGAAGAGTTTAGGAGTGAAGGGAGCAGGTACTGTGGCATCTGGTCACAGCAGAGGGGAGGAATGCACCAGCTGTGTGCAGAAAGCCTGAGTCTTAGCTCCCTGCTACACCTGAGTCCCCAGGGTCCCTGGGTGCATCGTGCCCACAGCAGCCACCCAGAGAAGACTGCCATGAAGGAGGCCCTCCCTGACAGGCCAAGCCCGGCACTCACACCTCCCCCTTCCCCAGGATTCCCAGAGTCCAAACCCAGCCTCTCACTCACCATCCTGTCGTCTCATCCTTCAGTCTGTGATGTTCTCTCAGAATTGACCCCTGCAATTCCCCAGGGCACCCTAGAGCAAAGCAAAAGTCCCACCAGTGCCATAACAACAGCACCAACCCATAAAGCAGAGTGTCTTAAAGTGTCTGAAACTTTGGGAGACAGAAAAACACCAAAATGCTGTTTCTAAAAATGTACGTGTTATTGTTTTAATGGCAAAAGATATATATACATCCACGTATATTTTAAAAAATTGGACTTTTAACTTGCTCTTCCTCTTAAAAATAAATCCAGTCAGCATGTCCTGACACTGCTGGTGTCGTCTCCCGGAGGTGGGGGAGCCCCGCAATGGAGCCTGGTGGTACGGCCCAGGCCCAGGTGGTGCTGCCACCTGCCTGCCGTCTGCTTGTGCAATGGATGAGCCTGTTGTTCAGACATGGAAATGCATTGTTTACTTCACTCATCGACAACACAGCTGTAGTATTCTTACTCGTGTGTCTATTCAAAAAACAAACAGGATCTATCCTGTTTTCTCCTGTGGCTGAGGAGAAACCTTCAGTGGGTGCTGACAGCACACATGTGTTGCCTGCTTTCTGGCCACCCCCCTTGTCATGCAAGGTAGAGGGTGGTGGCAGGCACAGGGCTTCTGGTCCAGCTCTGCACTAAACTGCTTCTGCTCCCGGGGATGCAGAGATCGGAGGACACCCTTGTGGTTTCCATCATTGCTCTCCTCACATGATGGCAGGCTCACACAAGCTCCTGGCAGGCGGAGTGGCCTGGCCCCACAGAATACAGTGCAGGGTTTGTGGGAAGAGGCCCATGCTTGGCCATCCACGGCTGAAGGCCCCCGTACCCTACTGTCTTCCCAGTGCGCTTACGGACATGAAAGTTTTGAAAAGGGGCCCTGTTAATTTTCTTAACAGGCAATATAAAAGTCATAACTTTGTTCTAGGGAAAATATTTTTTAATGAGGCTGCCTCAAAACTAAACCAAACCAGCTCCTAGCAACCCTATACGTCAAAGTAGAACTGTCCCATAGGGTTTCCAAGGAGCAGCTGGTGGATTTGAACTGCCGACCTTGTGGTTAGCAGCCGAGCTCTTAACCACTACACCACCAGGGCTCCGATGATGACTAGCTACCCTTAAAAAAACATCCACTTAGAAAACCAGTTCCCTGCACCCCTCAGAGGCAGGCTGGTCTAAAGCTGCTCAAGGCTGGAGGAAGCTTCTCTGTGCCTCCCAGCAGCCCAGCTAGGGACCAAGTGCTGGGGAAGGAGCCCCATGGACAGGGGGCCAGGATCTGGGTGCTGTGTGGACAGGTGACCTTTACCAGCCAGGCTCCATCTTCTTATTGTCAGCACTGGACAGATGGCCCCTTCCCGCCTCCCTGCCCCAGAGGCCACGAGGAGGTGACAAGCCAGCACTGTGAACACCCGCACACATACTCCTCCCTCGGGGCGAGAAGCCCTGGGCTTGTTCCTCCAAGGAGACCTAGGTACAAACAGGATGAATTTCAGGGAAAACCAGCCGAGTCATTCCTTGCCGGGGGTGGGGTGGTGGTGTCCAGAGTCACGTGGCTGTGTGCACAGGCTGCGCAAGGAAGGCAGAGGCACTCGCAGGAGCCCCCTCACTGCGTTACCTGAACAACTGAACAATATCGAGCCCTAAATGCAGGGGACAAAGGGCACCAGATGGCTACCCAGTGAGTTAGCTGCTCCACAGTCCCACCTGCTGAGCAGCGCTCACCAGCCAGCCGTCCCTGCTCTGGCGGGCGGGCGACATTACCAGACTGGCGGCGGAGATGCGGGGCTGAGAGGAGAGTCTGAGAGGCCCTCCCTGCGCTCTCTACAGGTTTCCTGCTCATTGGGAGTGATGTAAAGCTGAACAGTCCCTCGTCCCTCATCGGCCAGGCCCTCACGGAGATCCTGCAGCACCCAGAGCGCGCGCGGGATGCCCTGCGAGTACTCCTGCACCTGGTAATGGGCCTGGGGCCCAGGGAGCCCCTTACTTAGGGCTTCACTGGGAGCATGGACCCCCTAAGTTGACTGAAAAGGCTTGGAGGGGGAGGGGAGGGGCTGGCAGGTTGGCATAGCACAGGGGATGAGAGCAGACGGGTGTCAGGGTCCTGGGTATCCAGAACATGGTCTGGAGGCCCCACGGATGTCATGCCCACAGGGAGGGCCAAGGCAGGCCCCAGACCCCTCGTGCCTGGTCAGAGGGTGGTAGCTCTCAGGGCATTTCTGATGGTAGGTCAGTCATGCAAATTCTTCAGCTTAGGGTCTGCCTGAGGAGGCTTTCTCAGGCCTGAAGGAAATCAGTGAGCAAGTTAAGAAGGCTGTAACCTGAAAACCTCCCAAGCACACTCAGGCCGGACCTGAGGGAGCCAGGATGAGCAGATGTGGGTGTGGGCACTGCTGGAAGGTGGGGCAGTTGAGGGGCACTCAGGGGTTTGAGGCCTGAGGGTATATCCTGCAGTTATGGGAGCCATTCTGTGGTTTGGGGCAGGCCCTGAGCTTTGTTTTCAGACAACTCACTAGCGATCCGTTTGGAGGAGGGCCTGGAGTGGGCAGCAGGTGGGTTAGGGAAGGGACAGAACCTTTTCCAACCGTGGGCCAGCTCTCGCTGGCTCTGTGTATGCTTTTCATCTGCAACCTCGCACGCAACTTGTCCCAGTGTCGCAGTCCCCCGTTCACACTGAGGGGTGTTACGCCACTCAGGCCTGGCCACACAGTCTGCAGAGGGCAGCAGTAGTCAGCCCTGCACTGGCCACATGGAGAGCCAGGCCACACCCCTAGGCAGAGCGGTGGGCTTACCCTGTCACCTTCCAGGTGGAGAAGTCCCTGCAGCGCATCCAGAGTGGGCAGCGCAATGCCATGTACACGTCCCAGCAGAGTGTGGACAACAAAGTAGCTGGCATCCCTGGCTGGCAGGCTCTCCTCACTGCCGTGGGCTTCCGGCTGGACCCCCCTGCCAGCGGCCTGCCGGCGGCCGTCTTCTTCCCAACCTCTGACCCAGGTGACCGGCTCCAGCAGTGCAGCACCACCATCCAGTCCCTGCTGGGTAAGCTGGGGCATGCCCTTGCACCAGCAGGCCTCCGGCAGAGCTGGCAGCAACTGAGGGGCTGGGGAACAGTACCGGCAACACAGCTGGTGGCCATGGTCCCTGCATTAACGAGATGTGGGACCTCAGAGCGAGGAAGGAGGGAGGCCGTGTCTTTCAATTTGTAATGGCACGTGACCTGTGCCCCAAGAGCAACAGCGGGGTCCACTGTGCCTCTTCCTGGGATGCTGCAAGGTAACCCTGGGTCAGCAGTAGCTGTGATTCATACTGTAACCGGCAGCTGGGAGCCAACAAAGCTGTGCGACTGGCCCCAGGGTGAAGGTGGTGCAGGTGCTTAGGGCTGCCCTTTGTGCATGACATAGAGGGGCTGATGCAACCTGAGACTGCACCTTGGGAATGTGACCATGCCCCTAGAGGAGGACAGCAGGGCCAGGACTTGCCCTGATGCCTCTGACCTTCCTTTCTTGGAGACAGTGCTCTCCTTTTCCAAGTCAGGCCCGGAAGTACATGCCTGCCTATCCCAGGCTTTTGAATGCCACCACTGCTGAGTGTTTCTGGGCTTCTTCCCTTGGAAAGGCAGGACTGGGGATCCACAGGCCCCTCAGATAATGCCCACCCCCTTTCCTGGTTTAGGTTTGCCCAACCCTGCCCTTCAGGCGCTCTGCAAAGTCATCACTGCGTCGGAGACTGGCGAGCAGCTCATCAGCCGGGTGAGTGCTGAGCAGGGCCGGAGTCTGGCCTGAGGCTCTGCAGAGCCATAAAGACAGAAGTGGTTTGGCCCCAAATAGGAACCTGCAGTGATGCAGCATCATTTCTTTCTTCAGCCTTTGTGACAAGAAGGGAAGGGCAAGGGTGGGGAGCCACAGGACCGCTGTCCCTGGCCCTGTGTCCTTGGCGACTCCTTGCAGTGCAGTGCCCTCTAGATGCAGATGATGCTTATGGGGCCCTGTCACCTGTAGTCTCAGAGCAGGTCCTAGCTCTTCATCCAGTGACCTCCTGCCACCTTGTCATCCCCCAGCTTTTCAGCTATGAGCAAGCATTCCAGCCACCGCTCCTGAGCAAGCCAGTGTGAGGTCGTCCACCAGGATGGCGACAGGTGTCCCAGGACTTATACTCTGAGTCAAATTATTGAAACAAAATAGTAGTGAACGCAACGTCAGCTCTAATACAAGATAGAGGGAAAGTCACATTGCATGGCAGGTTTCAAAAACGTGCTTTCTTCTAGCAGACGGTAGATCTAACTCAGGGACTGGGAGGGTTTCTAACCCTCGGCATCATGTAGTAGGCCCTTCCCAACTTGACCCTGGGGTGTCTCTGGAGCTTCGCTGTGCCCACCAATTCTCCTGACTAATGAGGGTCTGGGATGAGCCCCCAGGTGAGGGCTTCTGCGAGGGCCCAGCCACCTCTGAGGAGCACTTTTCTCTGGTCATCTTGGAGAGTAGTCATTGGAAACCATAATGTTCACTGTTATTAGACATGCTTGTCAGCAGATTTCGTTTTAAGCAGAAATATTTCTATGTGGAAACAAAGCTGCCCCATCATCTAGGATGAGCCTCTGAAATTTTGAGTAGCACCCTGCCTGAGCCCTCCTCCGACCAGGGGTTGCTTCCAGCCAGATTCGGAAATGTGGCCCTGCGCAGAGACTGTCCCTTTCATTGAGTTCCTGCTCAGTGTATAATCAGTATTTTGCACCTGCTTGTTGAATACCCTCAGGAAGACACTTCCAGAGCACTGCCTATTAAAACATCCTAGAGCCAGTAGGGCTAGATATCTGAGCACTACAAAAAGAGAAAGCTAGAATGACATGTGCAGGCCCAGGCTAGGAGTCCAGCTGCTTAATTTCTTTCTTTTTGTGGGAGTACAAGGACTCTGCCTGATATGCTATCAGGCCCCAGGAAGTGTCCTGAGGCTGCCTCGGGCCCGTGGATGGTGGACGTTTTCTGAGTCACTCTGGAACCCTGCCGGGCCCTCCCCACTTGGGCCGGCCTGCCCCGCTCTTCTACTTTCGAGGAAGGGCAGCGCCTACCTGGCCCTGAGCACTTGACCCCCAGAGTGCCTGGCATGGCTGTTCATTTTCCTGTATGTCCCTGCTGACTCTTGCTCCTTTCCCCTCCCGGTCACAGCCACGAGCCTGTGTGGCGCTTCCTAAAGCAGTGGTCAGCTCATGTGGCATAACAACCTATGCTTGAGTCTAAACTCTCTTCTTTCTCTTTCTTTCTTTTTCTTATAATCTGCTGGCCGAAGGCTGTTAAAAATATGGTTGGAATGGTGAGTACCACTTTAAGTAGCAGCTGTCATCAGGTGAGCCCTCACTCCGTCACACCCCCGAGTTACCATCGGTGGTGCCTTGAACTCGGCGAGCACGCGCTGCTGGACTGACTCTCGTCTGTAACGGAGACAGAGGCACATGCCAACACGCTCTGGGCCGTGGCGCTCCGGGCTGGGTGACCAGGGCCGCTGGCTGGCGGTCTGTCCCTCCCTCTGCTCTGGCTCCCCCTTTTCCTACTCCACCCTTCTTGTGCTCTTGATTTGGCCTTCCAGTCCCACCTGAACAGCAGGGGCAGAACTGCCTTTAAGTGCATGACACTGTGTGAACCGCACAGAGGCCCTGATAGAACTCAGACTCAGGAAACCTGAAACACCATGGACCCTTTGAGTTGGTTATGTGTGTTTATCTTCGAGTGCTGAGGAACTAAACATTAGATTCCTCTTCACCATTTACCTCAAGATCGTAAGGATGACCTTAATTTTTAAAGAAAGGCAGGAGATAACCAGTCTTATAACTCACCCCTCTCTGCTCCCTGAGCCCCTCTCCTGTACTCCGCAGTCCTTCAGTGTGTGCCAGGGAAGATGCAAGGGCTGGCATCAGCAGATCCAGATTGGGGCCAGCCCAGACCCAAATGGCTATACCACTGGCCACTGGCCACCTTTGATTCGACCATGGGCACTAGAAAGGTATATCCCAGAATCCTGTTCAATCCAGGACACTCACTTTTCCCTTTTCCACATTGTTAACATGGCTAAGGCACAACCTTTAATACACCACCTAGCATCTCGGACCCCACTGCCCCTTGACCTTCCCAAAGAGTGAGGATGATAATAGGTATTCTTTAAAAAGAATCCCAAATGCTATACACAGTGAGTGACAGAATCATTAGCGGTGACAAGAATAACCTGGGGACAAATCCTGAGGAGGGCCAGAGGGAAAGGAGACACTGGGTAGAAGAGCGTGCTCACGTCTGCCCTCCTTCCCTCAGCTCCACCAGGTGCTGGTTCAGCTCCAGGCTGGCGAGAAGGAGCAGGACTTTGCATCAGCACCCATCCAGGTCTCCATCAGTGTCCAGTTGTGGCGGCTCCCGGGATGTCACGAGTTCCTGGCAGCTCTAGGTAGGACAAAGCATCCTTGACTTAACTGGTTTTTTTTCAGTCACTTTTTAAAATTTATTTTCCTCCTGGTTTTTGTTGGGTTGTGTTGGTAGACTCTTTGGAGTCTTATCTCAGTGTTTTCTTAGATATTTTATTATTTAAAAATACTTACTTAACTCAAAGATTCTAGTGCTTTAACAAGATTCCCAAATGATCCTTCAGCTTTGTCCCATTTGCCCTACATGATGATTTAATCTTTCTTATTTGTACCCATTATCTTAATATGAATCTGCTAGATTCCAGTATTGTTGGGATCCAAGCCATGATTAAGAGCTAAAGAATACTTAGAAGTACAGTTGTAAAATAGTGGTTTCAATGTTGGGCTCTATCATTGGCCACTGGAAACTGGCATAAAAAATACTATGGAAACCACCTTTGATTTGACCATGGGCACCTAGAAAGGCACATCCTAGAATCCTGTTCAAGCCAGGACACTCACTTTTCCCTTTTCCACACTGTTAACGTGGCTAAGGCAGCTCCTGACATAATTGCTATTTACTTACAACCGGTACATCTATTGATAAAACACCACCAGAAGTCATGCCACATCTCCTCATGCCCTACCTGTGTGTGTGACACTTGCTCGGGAGCCTTTCACTCAACAAATGTTTACTGAACACCTTTTATGTTCCAGGCAATATTCTAGGTGCTACAGCAGTGAGCAAAAGACACAAAACTCTGCCCTCCTGGAGTTTACATTATAGTAGGGGAAAATAAACGACCGTGTTTTTACGCAAATGATGCACGCCTTCTCCGTCTGTTTGCCAACTGTACCCTCCCCCGCGAGCTATTTTCAAAACCACTCCGCTGTGCCAATTTTTTTTTTTTTTTACATGTTGCTGTAAAAGAATATTAGCATAGCACGCTTATGAAAATATCTCGCGGAGGGAGGTGGGGTTGGCAAACAAATGTAGAAGGCACTGTTGGTGTAAAAACACGGTCTGTAACAAATTATTCAAGGGAGACATCTTAGAAGGTGAAGGTGCACTGTGACCAACAAAAGCATCAGGGTCAAAGTGATTGGCTGGAGGGGTAGGAAGCAGGGCGCCAGGGCAGGCCTCAGAGATATGCGGAGGTTGACAGGGCAAATGATCCAGGCAGAGGGAACAGTCAAGACAGTCAAAAGCGAGGTCCAGGCAGCGGTGCAGAGGGAGCAGAGGAAGCAAAGGGCAAGGGGAGGGCAGGGGAGATGAGGGGAGGCCGAGGGCATGGTTTTAACCTGAAGGAAGTGGAAAGTCTTTGGAGGAATGACATGATCCACCTTCACTGTTACAGGGACCAGCCTTCTGACACAGCAGTGAGTCCTTAACAAAGGCTTTTATTCCTGCATGTTGTTGCCTTTGAGTTGACTCTGACTCATGGTGACGCCGTGTGTTACAGAACAGAACTGCTCCATAGGGTTTTCTTGGCTGTAATCTTTTATTTATTTTTTAAAGAAGCTTTGGAATTTTTAATCAGCTTTTTTTTTTAATTATACTTTAGATGAAGGTTTACAGAACAAACTAGTTTCTCATTAAACAGTACACATATTGTTTTATGACATTGGTTAACAACTTGACATGTCAACACCCTCCCCTTCTTGACCTTGGGTTTCCTATTACCAGCTTTCCTGTCTGTTCCCTCCTGCCTTCTAGTCCTTGCCTCTGGGCTGGTGTGCCCCTTTAGTCTCGTTTTGTTTTATGGGCCTGTCTAATCTTTGGATGAAGGGTGAACCTTGGGAGTGACTTCATTACTGAGCTAAAACGGTGTCCGGGGATCATACTCTTGGGGTTTCTCCAGTCTCTGTCAGGCCAGTAAGTCTGGTCTCTTTTTTGTGAGTTAGAATTTTGTTCTACATTTTCTCCAGCTCTGTCTGGGACCGTCTATTGTGATCCTGTCAGAGCAGTCGGTGGTGGTAGCTGGGCACCATCTAGTTGTGCTGGACTCAGTCTGGTCGAGGCCGTGGTGGTTGTTAGTCCTTTGGACTAATCTTTCCCTTGTACCTTTAGTTTTCTTCATTCTCCCTGGTTCCTGAGTTGGCTGTAATCTTTAGGGAAGCAGATCACCAGAACTTTTCTTCCATGGTACCACTGTGCTGGGTGTGTTCAAACCGCCAACCTTTCAGTTAGCAGTCGAGCACAAACTGTCTGCCACCCAGGCGTGGGTGTTCAGTCTTGGGCCATCTTCTCCTGGCTTGCTGTAGAAGACCTTTCCCAGCCTGCCTCAACTTACGGCCGGCTTCATTTGTTTTCAGACATATCTGTTTCTTTTGAAAGTAAAGGGGAAACTTGCAAAGTTCTTTCATTAGACTTCTGGAGTCCTTTACCATTTGTACTACTTGTTTCTTCCCTGTGGATTTAAAACAGTCTACTTGGTGTAAACATGATAACTTTATGTTTTATGGAGGCAAAACTGGGAAATGCCAGCTCCACACCCAAGATGGTCTTCCTCTCACTTCTGTGACAGGCTATGGGATCAGCCTTGGGGGCAGTGGCACAGGTGGTCAAGTCCACTTTGATGGGGAACTCTGGTGAGTCAGCAAGAAGAGAACACCAGATGCTGAGTGGCTCCTTAAGTGAATCTAATTCCAAAGGGAATGAGGGTGTTCAGACCAGTACCAGAATCCTTAAGTTAAAAAAAAGAAGAAAAAAATATATATAATGTCTCCTTCTGTGAACACTCTCAGGTATGAGGTGCACAGCATGCTGACAACAGCAGGCCCTGGGTGGCTGGGACCTGGCCTTCACTGTGGTAAGATCAGAGGAGGGGCTGTGCTATCACAGGTGCTGGCCCCGCTGGGAGCTTTAGCCCCAAGCCTTTTGCCACTGTTCGCAGCGGTGACTCCCTGAGGGAGGCTGTGGGAAGGCTCTTAGTGCTGAAGGCTCCTCAGGCCTTAAATCCTTGCCCAGTGGCCCCTGCTTGGGCCATCGCTGGCTGTGGCATCTGTGTTTGGCTTGTTCTTCTGGAGCTCTTTCCCATGAGGTGTTATTTACTGGGTGCTTCTCGAATGGCTCTTAATAAGTCTCAGTGCTGTGTCAACAGCTCGTTAGCCAGCCTCTCGCTCAGGAAGCTCTGTGCCCTTTGTTGTACCCACTCTGAGTCTCATTATAATCATCAGAACCAGGGAGTGGCACACCTGGGTTTTGGCAAAGTGGAGTCCCTGCAGGGTAGTTCAGCCAAGAAAGCAGATTCTCCATCACTAGCAAGTGCCCCATTCCAAAGCCATCACTAAAACTTCAGCACTTATGACAGCCCAGGGTGGCAGGCACTGACCACATATAAGACACTGCCCTTGCCCTGAGAAGCTTCCACCTTGTCACACACCAGCTTTAAACACTGGACCCAACACCTGATGGAGTGGCCTGTTTTTCTCCCCCCGGATGTTTTTCTTTAAGTAGCCCTGCATCTTTGCTGTTCTTCTGTGGAACAGGAGAAAAATGACAGGATGTTAACTAGCCTTGTTAAGTCGCAGGCCTCAGCTCTCAAGGACACCACAGGGCAGTAGAGCAGCCATGAAGGGACAGAGGAGATCCCAGCAGCGAGCTATGAACCCAGGCAAATGGGGAGCCATGGCAGGGGTGCTGTGGGCGCGGCAGCTGGGCACCCAGCCAGGAAGTCCCGCTTACACACTGATCGGCGGCTGTTCAGAGGCTGGGGTGTGAGAGGCCCCCAGCCAGGAGTGCCTGCTGAGGGGCCTTGAGTGTGTGCCAATGGAATTGTACGAGGAGTCCTACAGCTCCAGTGGTTTTCAAGATACGGAATCTTCCTTAAGAGAACATGTTTATATCTTTGTTCCTCTAGGTTTTGACCTCTGTGAAGTTGGTCAGGAGGAAGTGATTCTGAAAACTGGAAAACAGGCCAACCGACGGACGATGCACTTCGCGCTCCAGTCCCTGCTGTCCCTCTTTGGTAGGCGCCTCGCTCGGCCGACCCGCACCTCCTCCCGTGTGCCCCATCCTCGGGCAGGCCGCCATCACACAGCTGGTTACACTCTCAGGAAGGGGAGAAAACGGAATAAACGTGTGTGTGTTAGGGACTACAATGAGCAACACCTCCTGCTTTCATGGAGCTTACAGTCAGTAGGGGGAGATACATAGAGTGTACATAAGACGGTGACAGGTGCTGTGAAGAAAACCAAAACTGGGTAAGGAAGAGAAAGTGAGAGAGGTGGCAGTGGAGCAGCTCTGAGGGAGGGGAGACAGCAGGACGAGGCCTGACAGGAACAGGCACCAGATCGCGTAGGCCTCGGAGGCAATGGTCAAGGCTCAGAGGGCACACCTGCTCTGACAAATGTTCCGGAAGGCCCATGCCGACTGATGTGGGAAGAGTAATGCTGGCTTGGATAGTGGTCATAGCTTGAAGGGAGAACCAGCAGGTTCTGCTGAAATATGTGTGTGGACATGGAGAAAGCAGGGAACAACTGATAGAATGAAACTGCTGTTAGCTGAGACCAGGAAAGTGGCAGGAAGAATGGGTTTGAGTGTAATCTTAGACACGCTCAGTTTTGAAACATCCATTAGATATTAGAGAGAGGCAGTGTGAAGGTGAGCATGGACGACCTCACTGCAGAGGTTTGCTGGAATGCAGAGCAGTGGGGCCAGAGGGGATGTCCTATGGGCAGGCAGCTTGTCTCTGTGAGGCTTAGGACAGGAGACATCACAGACTGCTCATAGGCCCTGGGCCCAAGCTGAGGGTGGGCCCTGGTAAGGGCAGAAGGGAAGCCCCTCTGCTGGCCCACGTGGTAGGGAGCAGCATGAGGACGGCTCTGCCGTTGGGGTAGAGGTGTTAGTCTCGGAACTCTCCTGGGGTGTTTCTGTCCCTGGGTAAGATTTACTTCTTTCCCAGCAGAACCATGTTTTTCAGAATTGGAAGACTAATGTGAATTGTATCTAAGTAGCACTTGTATAATTCTCTGCCAGCTTCTATGCATATAAGGTTACTTGTGATTTTGAAAGAAAATCAAAAACACGTCAAATTCTAACTGCGCTTTGGGCACTTGTGTTTTTGTGCTTAGATTCTACAGAACTGCCCAAGCGCCTCAGCCTCGACAGCTCGTCCTCCCTCGAGTCTCTGGCATCAGCTCAGTCCGTTTCCAACACCTTGCCCCTGGGCTACCAGCACCCTCCCTTCTCTCCCACTGGTGCAGACAGCATCGCCTCGGACGCCATCTCTGTGTACAGCCTGAGCTCCATCGCCTCCTCCATGAGCTTCGTCTCCAAGACTGAGGTTGGGTTAGAAGGTGGAGGCACCAGAGGACGACAGGACTACGACCGGTCCAAAAATGCTTACCCACAGAGATCCACCTTGCCTCAGCACCAGTTGTCCCCACAGGCCCGCACTGCAGGCAGCAAAGACGAGGAAGAGTACGAAGGTTTCTCCATCATTAGCACTGAGCCTCTGGCAGCCTACCAAGAAAACAGAAAGGCACGGTTCTCACCGGATCACAGTCAGTCCAGGGTCGGGACAGCTGGAGGTGTTAAAGTTTCTGTCAGCTCCAAGGGGAGCATCAGCACTCCAAATTCTCCAGTTAAAATGACTCTGATTCCCAGCCCAAACTCTCCCTTCCAGAAGGTTGGAAAACTAGCAAGTTCAGATACAGGAGAATCGGACCAGTCTAGCACAGAAACAGATAGTACCGTGAAATCCCAAGAAGAAAGCAACCCAAAGCTTGATCCACAAGAGTTAGCCCAGAAGATTCTAGAGGAGACGCAGAGTCATCTCATTGCAGTAGAGCGTCTTCAGAGGAGTGGCAGTCAAGCGAGCAAGAGTAATAATTCAGACGATGGTGTTTCCGTGCCAAACAGCACTACTGTCTTCAGAGCGTCAGAAACGAGTGCATTCAGCAGGCCTGTCCTCTCCCATCAGAAGAGCCAACAATCACCAGTTACTGTTAAGCCAAAGCCCCCAGCCAGAAGCTCATCCCTACCCAAGGTGAGCTCAGGATATAACAGCCCCACCACCTCGGAGACGTCCATCAAAGACAGCCGGAGCCAGAACAGTGGCCGGCCCTCACCTGGCTCTGACTCCCAGACTTCCCTCACTGACCAGCCTCTCTTTAAACTGAAGTACCCAAGCTCTCCTTACAGTGCTCACATTTCCAAGTCCCCAAGGAACATGTCCCCAAGCTCAGGCCACCAGTCTCCTGCTGGTAGTGCACCATCCCCAGCTCTCTCCTATTCTTCAGCCGGTTCGGCTCGTTCGAGTCCAGCAGATGCACCAGACATAGACAAACTGAAAATGGCAGCCATTGATGAGAAGGTACAGGCCATCCATAACCTGAAGATGTTTTGGCAGAGCACACCCCAGCACCCCACAGGACCAATGAAAATATTCCGCGGGACCCCTGGAACGATGACTTCCAAAAGAGATGTCCTCAGTCTATTAAATTTGTCACCTCGGCACAACAAGAAGGAAGGAGTAGTAGATAAACTTGAACTTAAGGAGCTGTCTTTGCAGCAGCATGATGAAGCACCCCCAAAACCCCCTCCCAATGGACACTGGCATGCACAGACCACCAGGCTGAGCACACTCCCGCTGCCTGCCGGCACTCCTGCAGCTCCCACTCGCCCTCTGAGACTTCCTTCTGGAAACGGCTACAAGTTTCTGTCCCCGGGAAGATTTTTTCCTTCCTCCAAATGCTAAGTGTCTTTTCTACCCACTGAATCCAAGAGCAGCAGCCCAGAGAGGGTCTCAGTATTCGCTCTGCCTCCTTGCCTTGCCTGAGTGCACAAGTCACCGCCACGCCACCGTCAGCACCTCCTCGTGATGGACACCATCCCCGGTGTCACCACGTCCAAACACTACCAAGCACATGGCCAGTGGCTCCGTTGCCAGGACTCTGGGCCAGATTCACCAAAAGCCAGAACTTCTTTGGCGTCGGTACCAGAGGCTCATGGAATTTTCTACACACTGCACCAAATGTTTACCTTTGAACTCCCACTTCTCATCTCCGATGTGATTCTCCAACAGGACTTTTGTACAAAATGGTCATGGTTCTGGGGTGGGGAGAGGAAGGGGAGCACGTATTTTGCTACGAAGTGGATACGCAGCACCTTTTATACACAGAAATACAAATAGAGCTTTCTTTTTACGGTTTTCAGGTGCTGGTTGGGGTGGCATATATATAAAATCTAAGTTGAAAGTGTTATATTCGCCAAAAACAGAATAATGGTTTTAGAAAATGCCAATGATTTGTTATTAAATTGAAGCGGTTGTGGTCTCCTGACATTGTAACACCACCTAACAAACAATGCAATAATTCAGGCTGAAATAGTGCTTCCACCCTGAACTCTTCTTCCGTCTCTACAAATGTCCTTTTGGGCCCTACTGTCAACCAAACTTGAATTTTTTAAAAAACATTAACTCTTATCCAGGCATCTTAGAACTATGCAATTGTGATTTAGAATGCAACTTTGTGCTTTTAAAACATTATTGACCTTTTTTGTACACAGATAAACAACTTGGTTTTATTATCAATAGTACTTTGCATTTATAGCTATTATTTTTAAAAGCTCAAAAGTTTTTTAAAAATGTCAAATTTTGAATAATCAACAAGTAATTATCAAGTTTGGGGGAAAGGCTGAAATTATTCAGTTTCCTTATGAGCAAAAAATAATAAAAAAAGAAAAGAAAGAAAGATATGTCCACAGCTAACTAGATTTAACCAGAATCTAGCCTTCCAGCTCCTCTTCCCTTTTATTAGCTGCTTAATTTTGGTCTCTTTTCCTAACCCCAGGCCTCTAACACCTCTTCTATCTCAATCCATTGCCAGGTTCATACAATGCCAGCAGCCTCCCCTTAGCTGGGGCTGTCCTCTCATCATCCCTGCTGTCTGAAAGAAAGGACCCTCCCCTACCACAGAGGATTTTCCTATCCATATCCTCAGATGCGGGTGTGGCCTTCTGCTGGGATATACCTCCGAATTACTGCTCAACAGGGCAATAGATACTTAACGAAAAATGAAGGCAGGCTTTTCCCACGCAATGATGGTATACTTACATTATCGCCAGCTGAGACTAGAAAAGGGAATAGTCTAGTTAGGGGTAACCATTAATTTATTTTAATAAAGAATTGAAATGTGGAAAATCAAATTAGTACTAAAGTTTAGTTGGAGAATTTAAGTAAGCATCTTTTAAGTAATTCTAAAATTCAGATTCGACCATTCTCACTGTGAGGGTATGTCCCACAAAGGTAATGCAGCCACCTGGCCCGGGACATGAGGAACTGGCAGGGAGGGGACTGACACCAAGACAGCCAGGTGGAGTTTTAACCTTGGGTGGGCTATCACTTTATAAACACACTGACCACTTCACCTGTCTGTTCCTCAGTGTACTCCTCTGAAAGGAGAATGTTTACTCAATTTGTGTTTGTCTCCTGAGGTATGTCATAGAGCTTTATGCATTTAACCCAACAGCCATGTTGATGAAAGCAAATAAGGATGTCACATGCCAATCCTGATCCCAACACTGGAGGAGAAATACTTTATAAAGAAGCAAGCCACTATGAGGATGTCTTTATGTAAGTAAAGACAAAATACATGGTAATAAAAGTACCAGTGATGCAAATGAAAGCCACATTTATAGCACGGTTCATTTAATTTGGATAGTAAAATCAGGTCCTCAACAACAAAAACTCAACTGCAAAGTACATGTCTGAATCCATGTGTGGATAGTTAGGCCCCCCTTTCTCAGCAAGTCTCAGTCTCTTTCCCAAGTGCCATGGAGCCCTGGAGGAAAGGCCTGGGGTCAGTGCTGTCCCCCCAGCACCCGGACCATGCCCCATGGACATATCTTCTTGCAGTTTTCAAGCTAGCTGGCAAAACTCATGGACTCTAACCTGGTTTTAGTCCTAAGTACATTGTTGTTTTAGGTTTCATATTACAGAGCCAAAATGGTGTATGTGATTCTTTTGGGGGGTCCTAGATATAAGCTTCAATGAAGGGAAAAACAAAGATGATGACATAATAGGACCAACTTGAAAACCACTGTTGAGTCGCCACTTTGTTGTGTTTGCTCAGTGTCATTCCTGGTGTTTCTGTGAGTGGAAGAGATGTACAATCATAAAATCAAAGTGAATTTTTTTAGGCTACGCTGAAAAAGTATGCATTTAAAATTACATGAGGTTTTGTAATTCACAGAGATTTCTTTGTATAAGTCAGGGGTCAGTAAACCACAGCCCATGGGCTAAATCTGGTCAGCTGCCTAGTTTTTTACAGCCCACAAGCTAAGAATGGTTTTCCCATTTTTAAATGGGTACTTAAGTCCCTACATAATATTCTTGATTTTGCCTCTTGGCCCGCAAAGCCTAAAATATTTAATACCTGGCCCTTTTAAGAAAAGTTGACTGACTCCTGGCCTAGACAGGAGAAAACACAATTGGAATAATGTTTTGTTTCTCCAGTCTAGGGAAAGTGAGTGTCACACTGCGGGTCAGCTGGCATGTGGGGAGCCCTGGGCATGCCTGGGCCATGTGAACAAAGAAACGAGGGACTCCTGCCTAGCCCTTGGCTGTCTGCTCACTTGGGAAGAGTGAATAGATGTGGGTAAAATTTACAAAAATATTTGCCATCTTCAGACAGCATTGGATATGTTTCTTTTAGCTCAGGAAAGTGACATGCCCTGCCTGCGCTCTACTCCCTCAGAACGCAAACACACTGAATGAATATGAGCAATAAAGCCGCCTTCCCCTCCAACTCTCAGGATGAACACACCGCAAGGTAGTGGACTCGGTCCTAATTCTTACCAGTGAATTCCTTAACTACTTTGGTGATCGTAACTCAGTCAAAACACCAAGAAAAAATTAGCTTCTAACACATTTTAATCCACCACTGGTATGTAGAAAAATGAAAGCATTCTCACCTCTGTCCCCATTTTCAAAATACGTTAATGGTCCCCATGGACACTTGCTGGGTTTCAGCCAGAGATGCGGTCTGCACACACTGCCCTAGCCTGCTGGTCTGTGCTGGTGACTGTCCTGTCGGGGATCACTGCAGCGGGTCCTTGGTACCGTGAACCAATCCCGCTGTCTTCACCACACACACTTGCAGACCCACAAGGAGAACTATCACTTTGTTTCCGTTCAGGTTGGAAAAAATGCCACACAATAATCTGGTTTGCTTTTAATAAGTAGACAAGAAGTTAAAATTGTGTAGTTTTCATCACGTATTTTGTTGTTTTATCTAAAATGACTGTACATGTGGTTTGTGAACTAGGCTCTGTTTGTGCCAGATCCTTCAAAGATGTTTCATGCAAGGACCTCCGTGGTCCCTCTCCCCTCCTCAGACGCCTTCCCCACTTGGCACCCGCCCCTTGTATGCAGTGTTAGCCATCTTTGGCCTACGTGGACTTCTTTTGTAAATTACACAGTTTCCAGACTGCATTAAAACTTTTTATATTACAAAATTTACCGTGTAAAAAGAACTTCATATTTTTATTGAGATTGCTAAGGCACTTGGCCTTCTTCCTTTGTGATGTCAGTGTCTATTAAAGCATGAGTTCCCTCCGTTTTAAGTGCTGTGTCATTGAATCACTTCTGATATACTTTCAGGGTTTCTCTACAGAGCACAGAGTGATCATGTGTCACTAGTGAGCATGGATCTCCTCACATACACAACTGCAGAATTTTCTGGCCCTCCAAGTATGATGATAGACTGTAAACGTTTAGCCATCTAAATCACCACCACAGACAGGTGCTGAGTGCCTTGGTGCTGAAAAGCCTGCCTACAGGATGGCTGGTAACTCGTTCACTGGCTCGGCTGAGAGTCCTCGTCCTCCTCCCTCTGCGTGGAACACCCTCTCCCTTCACTAGGCCACCTCTCCTGATCCTTCAGGCCACCCCTCAGGGCCACCCCCTTCAGGAGACTGCCTTCTCCCATGGCCCACTCACTCTGGGATGGCTTCTGCTTCCCATCCACTCACTGGCAAGTGTTATCGTATTACTAATGGCAATGGCCGGGGGAAAGCGCTCTCTGTGTAACACTGTCCCCCCTTATACCTCAAGCCCCTCTGTGTGTTGGCAGGAGGTGCAGGAACTCAGCAAGGGGACAGCAGAACAAGCAGCAGCAGAACTAGATGGTATCAAAAAGGATGACGAATTGGAAAAAGAACCATTAAGAGCTAGAAATAAAAACCATTGGGCTTATAGAACGCTGATTAATAAAGCAGACTAGAGAATTAGTATAATTAAAGATAGATCTAAAGAAATTACCCAGAATTCAACACAGAGAGACAAAGACTGAAAATATGAAAGAGAGGTTAAGGGCCACGGAAAATAAAATGAAAAGGTAGGTCCAACATCAGAAAAGGAGCTCCAGAAAGAAAGGAGAGTATAATGGATTCTTTTCAGCTTGCTGAAAGATACAACTCAACAGATTAGGAAGGATAATGAATGCCAAATAGGACAAATAAAAAGACCATACCTAGGCACAGGATAATTCAACTGCTGACTACCAAAGACAAAGTCTTACAAGCCACCAGAGAATGGCATATTACTTGTAGAGGAACAAGGATTACACTGATAGCAGTTTTATCAACAAGACCGTGGAAGCTAGAAGACAGAATTAATTTTCAATGTGTTGAGAGGAAATTCTCACCTGGAATTATATATCCTACCAAGTTACCAATCAGATGGGGGGAGGGGACAAGATGAAGTATAGTCAGACAAAAATAGCACCACCAGATCAGCATATCTAAGGACACTTCCAAAGGAGGTAGCATATGGAAGTTTTAAACAAAACAGCGAACAAGTTTATGAAACAGTTATGGAGAACCAGTCTCTGATAGTGAATACACACTCTTCACAGAACACATGGAATATTTTATGAAAATAGATCACATACAGTCCACATAGCAAGTAGCAGCAAACATCAAAGCATCAGTATAGTTCCCATCACATAATCTGAATACAATAAAGGTAGAAATCAGTAACAAAAAGATAATAAAATGTTGCCAATCACTTGTATATTTCAGAATGCACTGATCAGTGTGTGAGCCACGGCAGGACTCATAACAGAAAAATAACCAAAAGCCCACATATCAAAATTGGTAGATACCTCTAGAGCCACCCTGGGAGTTTCTGGGGTTTACTTTTATTAGTAAAAGAAGTGTTTTTATTTGTTCTATATAAGACTAGAAGTTTGCACAATGGGCTACAAACAATCCCATGTTCACTGAATAAAATAAAATATATACTTATTGTTTTTCTGCTTATATTACATGCTACTTTCAGGAAATTTGTAAATTACATACTCATTAAAGAATAAAATTATAATTCCATAAAATGTAGTTCCATAAAGCGGTATTTTAAAGAAAAATTTACAGCCCTAAATGTTTATATTTAAGGGTAATAATCAAAATATGTAATAGCATGAGCCCCAGCTCCTCAGGGGGGATGCCGGTCCTAAGCAGCAAGTACTAGCGTATACTGGCATAAGTCAGGAAACAATAAAAACTGCTGAGCCAGGTGACCAGCTCAAGAAGTTAGAAAATACAAAATGTAAAGAGAAAAGAAAGAAAATAAATTATGAATTGAATTATGTCCCCAAAAAAGATATGTTGAAGTGTTAACTCCTGATACCTGAAGTGACCTTGTTTGGAAATAGGGTCTTTGAAGATATTATCAGTTAGGTTAACATGAGGTCATACTGGACTAGCGTGGGTCCTAATCCTCTATGACTGGTGTCCTTATTAAAGAGGAGATGATACACAGAGACAGGGAGAAGGAGGAAAGACAGCCTCGTGAAGATGCACGTACAAGCCAAGGAATGCCGAAGATTGTCAGGAGCCACCAGAAGCTAGGGAAGAGGAATAGAATAGATTCTTCTCTCAGAGCCCTCAGAAGGAATCAATATGGTTGATACCCTGATTTGGACTGCTAGCCTCCAGAACTTTGAGACAATAATTTCTGTTCTTACAAGCTATCCAACTTGTGGTATTTTGTTATGGCAGCCCTAGGACACTAATACAGAAGAGAAATAAAAGATCAGAAATTAATGAAAGAAGACAATATAGAGTATCAGAAAGGTCAAAAGTTTGCTGAAGAGACAAATAAAACAGTTAATTTCTGGGACGGCTGATTGTGTATGCATGTGAGACAGAAAGAATATGAAAGGGAAGAAAAGATGCAGCACAGAGAGAAAAGTAAGAAAATACTGTGAACAATTTTATGCCAACATACATGAAAATGCAAAATAACATGATTTAGGCATACATAGATAGTTGAGGTATCTAGAAATGCAGGAGATAAACTTTCAACGCAGGAGAGTAGCACTACTGTGCAACATTTTGTTCTGTTATACAAGGGTCACTATGAGTCGGAACTGACTCTACGGCACCTAACAACATAACAGTACCACTGTGGGAAGGCGATGGGACTGAAACCAGAGTGGCACATAGGTGACTTCAACTACAAACCACTTTAACATACAACTCTACTTGTTCATATATCTGAATTATTTCATAATGAATTTGTTGTTGTTGCTACGTGCCATCTAGTCAGTTCCAACTCATAGCAACCCTATGGACAACAGAACAAAACACTGCCTGGGTCCTACACCATCGTCACAATCCTTGTTATGCTTGAGCCCATTGTTGTAGCCACTGAGTTGATCAATCTCATTGAAGGTCTTCCTCTTTTTCACTGACCCTCTACTTTACCAAGCATGATGTCCTTCTCCAGGGACTGGTCCCTCCAAAGTATGTGAGATGAAGTCTTGCCATCCTTGTTTCTAAGGAGCATTCTGGCTGTACTTCTTCCAAAACAGATTTGTTCGTTCTTCTGACAGTCCATGGTATATTCAATATTCTTTGCCAACACCATAAGTCGAAGGCAACAATTCTTCTTCAGTCTTCCTTATTCATTGTCCAGCTTTCACATCTATACGAGGCGACTGAAAACACCATGGCTTGGGTCAGGCGCACGTTAGTCCTTAAAGTGATATCTTTGCTTTTTAACACTTTAAAGCGATCTTTTGCAGCAGATTTGCCCAATACAATGTGTCATTTGATTTCTTGACTGCTGCTTCCATGGGCATTGATTGTGGATCCAAGTAAAATGAAATTCTTTACAACTTCCATATTTTCTCCATTTACCATGATGTTGCTTATTGGTCCAGTTGTGAGACTTTTGTTTTCTTTATGTTGAAGCATACTCCATACTGAAGGCTGTGGTCTTTGATCTTCATCAGTAAGTGCTTCAAGTCCTCTTCACTTTCAGCAAGCAAGATTGTGTCATCTGCATATTGCAGGTTGTTAACGAGCCTTCCTCCATTCCTGATGCAGTGTTCTTCTTCATATAGT